CAATTGGGGAATGCTTATTTTCATGTTTTGTGAATTCTCCTGTCTTGCTGTAAGCTAGTTTCATGGCTGGGGGAAGCTGGAGAAAGATTTATGACTCTGAAGACCTGAGGACCCTGACTTTAAAAGGGCTCGAGTTGGAATTTGGGGACTACAATAAGGAAACCTGTGGGTATCAGTACTTCCTAAAGCACTTTGTTGGTCAACGGGACAGGATTCTAAAGCTCCTTCAGGAAGTTTCTGGGTCTGGAACATTTCATGCGATAATCCCATTGTATGGAGATTGGATCAGCCAAGTTATTTATTTGTTCATTTATTGAGACAGAGTCTCACTGTCGCCCAGGGTGTAGTGCAGTGGTATAGTGTCGGCTCACTGTAACCTCCGCCTCCCAGGTTCCAGTGATTCTCCTGCCTCAGCCTCCCAAGTAGCTGGGATTACAGGCGCCCGCCACCACGCCCCGCTGATTTTTTCGATTTTTAGTAGAGACAGGGTTTCATCATGTGGTCCAGGCTGGTCTCGAGCTCCTGACCTCGGCCTCCCAAAATGCTGGGATTATAGGCAGGAACCACCATACCCAACCTGTTTTTCTTTTGTTTTAACACAAATTTTATGTGAGAGCTTCAACTGCATTAATCTTGGGGATCAAGTATACCCCCCCACACACATTTTTTTGGGACAGAGTCTTGCTCTGTCACCAAGGCCAGAGTGCAGTGGCATGATCTTGGCTTACTGCAGCCTCAACCTCCCTGGCTCTAGCCATCCTCCTGCCTCAGCCCCCAAGTAGCTGAGACCACAGGCGAATACCACCACACCTGGCTAATTTTTTTTTTCAGAGATGAAATTTCACCATGTCATCCAGGCTGGTTTCGAACTCCTGAGCTCAAGGGATCTGCCCACATTAGCCTCTCAAAGTGCTGGCATTACAGACCACTGCACCAGCCACGTTTTCTTTAGCACTGCCATTCTTTTTGTCTTCAGGAAAAATAAGATGTTCAATTGAGCCAGAGACAAGAAGAGTCATTTTAGTCTTCATAGTTATTGGCCATGAACTGATATTTTATTTTAAGCTTTTTTTTTTTTTTTTTTTTTTTTTTGAGACTGAGTCTTGCTCTGTCACCAAGGCCGGAGTGCAGTGGCATGCTCTTGGCTTACTGCGGCCTCAACCTCCGGGGCTCTAGCCATCCTCCTGCCTCAGCCCAGAGTCTTATCTTCTTAGCATTGGGCACCTTATGTATATTGATCCTAAATAAATAAATCTGAGGATATCCTGGATTTGGATTTCGAATTTTAGACTCAAGCCAACCTTACTGCTTCTTTTTCACATTTGTCGAAAAGTCTGTGGAGAACATAGTAGGTTAATGATCTCCAACTTTGGAAAATGTACGTGATGTGAAATTGGGGTGCTCTGCTAAAAAATCAATGTATGATAACTAAAGAAACAGGAAGAGGCAGTGAGTAAAAAAGAAAAAAAAAACTTAGAAGTTATATTGTAATATAAGGAGAAAGGTGGTCAGCTGAAAGCTAAGCCATAGCGGCCTCCTGTTGCCCCAGTCAGGGCTTGGGAGATGCTAACAGTTTTTTAAATTCTCCAGCTTTCTTTTTCAGTTTATCTTGTCACTAACCGAAATCTCAGTACATTGCTTTAGTTTAACTTGCTAGTATTTCTTAAATTATAGTTTGTCTTGTTATATTTATACTAATGTTGATTGATTCCCACTCTCTTAATTTTCTTTTATTTTTGACTCTTTTGGAAAAGAGTCAAAAATATAAATAAATTATAAAAGTAGTATATAACTGTTGTACCAAGACAAATAGTCCAGAAGTGTGTTAAAGAAAGTTAAGCTCCCCTGCCCATGCCCTGAGGTAACCACAGTTGAGCTTGGTGTGCCTGTGAATGTTCTTCCTCATAATTTTTTTCATGCTCATACCAATAAATATCTTTTTTTTTTTTTTTGAGATGGAGTGCAATGTGTGATTTGGCTCACTGCAACCTCTGCCTCCCTGGTTCAAGCGATTCTCCTGCCTTAGCCTCCCTGAGTAGCTGGGGCTACAAATGCATGCCACCACACCTAGCTAATCTTTTGTATTTTTACTAGAGATGGGGTTTCACCGTTTTAGCCCAGATGGTCTTGATCTCCTGACCTCGTGATCTGCCGGCCTTGGCCTCCCAAAGTGCTGGGACTACAGACATGAGCCACTGCACCCGGCCTCAGACCAATAAATATTTATATGGGGTTGCGTTCTCCTCCCTCCTGCCCTTCCTTCCTGCCTTTCTTCTTTCCTTCCTTTGATACAAAAATGAAATAATTCCTCTGGGAGGATATCCAAAAAACTGATAATCAGGTTATCTTTGGGGAAGGAAACCAGGAGACTTGGGATCAGAGGTGAAAGGGAGATTGAGCTTTGACTAAGTGCCCTTTTATTTTATTTATTTATATATTATTTATTTATTGTTTTTGAGATGGAGTCTCACTCTGTCACTCAGGCTGGAGTGCAGTGGCACAATCTCAGCTCACTGCAACCTCGCCTCCCAGGTTCAAGCGATTCTCGTGCCTCCCCAGTAGCTGGGACTACAGGCACACACCTCCTTGCCCAGCTAATTTTTGTATTTTTAGTGGAGACAGATTACCACCATGTTGGCCAGGCCGGTCTCAAACTCCTGACCTCAAGTGATCCACCTGCCTCAGCCTCCCAAAGTGCTGGGATTACAGGCGTGAGCCACCACGCCCAGCCCTGTGTGCCCTTTTATACTGTTTATTTTTTTCCCCCTCTTTTCTTTTTGCCACGGACATGTATTATCAATTAAACAAAATTCTCTTCTCCATCAATTTTCTCTGAAGGTGCAGTGTTTTCTGTGACATTGCCTTGCCATTGGTGAGTTTTTGACACATCTTTATTTTGTTGCCAATTTTTTTTTTTTTTTGAGATGGAGTCTCAATCTGTTGTGCAGGCTGGAGTGCAGTGGCGTGATCTTGGCTCAATGCAACCTCCATCTCCCGGGTTCCAGCGATTCTCCTGCCTCAGCCTGGGATTGCACGTGCCCACCACCACACCCAGCTATTTTTTTTTTTGTATTTTTAGTAGAGACAAGGTTTCACCATGTTGGCCAGGCTGGTCTCAAACTCCTGACCTCAGGTGATCCACCCAGCTCGGCCTCCAAAAAGTGCTGGGATTGCAAGTGTGAGCCGCGGCGCCTGGCCGGCAACTTTTTTTTTTTTTTTTTTAATTGTTAAACAACTCTTGATGAAGTTCTAAATGAAACAAACAAAATACAACCTTCCTTCTGTTTACATGGTACTTGTGTTCCTGGAAAATGCCATGTACAAAAATACTGTGTAAAAAATGTTTTGTCTTTAGGATTAAAGCAGAGTTAATTTCTCAATGCAGATAATTGTAAACAGGTTTTCCACCTACATGAATGTTTGATGGGATCTTTGAGAGCCATGAAGGATGCAGAAATGTCTTGTGCATTGCAGACATGCAGCTTCCCTGGCCTTTCTCCAGTGAATGCCAGCAGAATACCTCAATCATTGTGGTACCTTTCCCGCAAGTTTCCAAAATGCTTCCTAGGAGGTATTGCTATTCTTGTTGAGAACCACTGCTCTAGCTGCTCCCTCTGATTGGAATGTTCTTTCCCCCATTTGCAGAGTTGATTTCTTTTTGTCATTCAGAGCTCAACTTAAATGTTACCTTCTCTCAGAGGGCTTGCCCGACTGCTTGATCTACAGAGCCCTCATTCACTCTACCATATTGTCCCATTTCAATTCTCTGTATAGCATTTATCTTTGTCTGCTGTTTTTCTTTCCTGTCATTTTATTGTCTGTTTCCATGTACCAGAATGTAAGATCCATGAGGGAAGGGATCTTGTCTCTTGTTCACAGCAGTGTCCTTGTTACCTGGAATGGTGGCTGGCACATTAGTGGCCAGCAATCAGTTGGATGAAAAGAAAGGAGGAAAGGAAGGAAGGAAGGAAAGGAAGGGAAGGGAGGGGAAGGAAAGGGAGGGGAGGGAAGGGGAAGGGAGGAGAAGGGGAGGGAGGAGAGGGGAAGGGAGGGAAAGGGAGGAGAAGGGAAGGGAGCGGGGAGAGAGGGAGGGAGGAAGGCAGGCAGGAAGGAAATCTTTTCTTCAGTTGTACAAGTTGTAAAAGCTTGGTAGTACATGATGTCTTCATGAAATAGCTTATTTAGGTTGAACACGATAAATACCAAAATATTAGCTAAATTCACAAGATCAGTAGACTCATCAATTTGCATCAAATAGTATCAACCTCCTCCAAAGTTGGTTATTTGCTATTTTAAGTTTCCAGCCACATGTGTAATTTTAAAAAGAACTGTGATATTTGACAAAGACACCTGCTTTGTTCCCAGTCATTATTTCTATTATGTCTTCAATAGCAGTTTTTAGTAAGTGTGTGAACAATGAATTCCATAGGTCTAATCTTTGCAATTCAGTACAACATTATAAAATGTGGTTTCCACACCTTTTGCCTTTGGCTTATTGTGTTTAGCTTTAGGTGATGATGTCCTTCCATTCTGCTTCAGAATTTTTGATGACATTTGAAGCAGGAAGATTTCATATCAAAATATATGAAACTTTTCATGTATTCACTCACTCATTCACTCATTTATTCATTCCACAAATGTTTATTGAATACTTACTCTATATCAGGAACTGTGCAAGGGATATATATGTCACATAATGGAGTTTAACTTTCTCTCATTACCAGGTGATATGGTTTGGCTGTGTCCCCACTGAAATCTCATCTCGAATTGTAACTCCCACAATTCCATCATGTTGTGGGAGGAACCCATTGGGAGGTAATTGAATCATTGGGGTGGATCTTTTCTGGGCTGTTCTGAGATAGTGGATAAGTCTCAAGGGATCTGATGGTTTCAAAAACAGGAGTTTCCCTGAGGAAGCTCTCTGTTTGCCTGCTGCCATCCATGTAAGTCGTGACTTGGTCCTCCTTGCCTTCCGCCATGATCGTGAGGCCTCCCCAGCCATGTGGAATTGGAAATCCATTGCCAAATCTCAGGTATGTCTTTATCAGCAGCGTGAAAATGGACTAATAGGCCAGGCCATGGTAATCCAAATTTCAGTTATTTTTCATGGGAGTTGCATGATACTTTTAGTTTCTTTGCTGCCATTTTAAAATTTGTTTTTTATTTTTGTTTTTGTTTTCACAGACAGGGTCTCTGTTACCCAGGCTGGAGTGTAGTGGCATGATCATAACTCAATGTAGCTGCCAACTCCTGGGTTTAAGTGATACTCCCACCTCAGCCTCTGAAGTAGCTAGGACTACAGGCATATGCTATCATGCCCAGCTAATTTTCAAAATTCTTTTGTAGAGATGAAGTCTCACTATGTTGCCCAGGCTGGTCTTGCACTCCTGGGGCTCAAGCAATCCTCCTCCTGCCTTGGCCTCCCTAAATGTTGAGATTACAGGCATGAGCCACTGTGCCTGACACTGCTGGTCTTATTATTATTTTTGAGATGGAGTTTCACTCTTGTTGCCCAGGCTGGCGTGCAATGGTGAGATCTCGGCTCACTGCAACCTCTGCCTCCTGGGTTCAAGTGATTCTCCTGCCTCAGCCTCCTAGTAGCTGGGACTACAGGCATGCACCACCATGCCTGGCTAATTTTGTATTTTTAATAGAGATGGGATTTCTCCATGTTGGTCAGGCTGGCCTCGAACTCCTGTCCTTGGGTAATCTGTCCTCCTCGGCCTCCCAAAGTGCTGAGATTACAGGTATGAACCACCGTGCCTGGCCGGTATTTATTGTTATACAAGTGGATGGTCCAAGTGTTGGAGTGATACATCTCTAATAACTAGCTGACCTACAATTAAAGTCATAACATTTTTTACCACAAATTCCACCACTCCACTATTTGTAATTGATATGCAGCATAATCACCATGTTTTGGTGTATAGTCCTAGGAATTTGAGCACATGTATAGACTCCTGTGACCACCACCACGATAAGGATCCAGAACTGTTCCCAACTTCTCATGTGCTGCCTTTTGTAGTTGAGGCCTCCCCAACCCCGACCTGGGCAACCACAGATGTGTTCTCTGTCCCTGTCATCTTGCCTTTCGAGAATGTCATATAAATGGAAGCATATAGCATGTAAACTTTTGAGAATGGCTTCTCCCACTCAGCACAATACCTTTGAGATTTATCCATGTTGTGTTCATCAATAGTTTCTGCCTTTTGATTACTGGGAAGAATTCCATAGTGTGGATGTACCACAATTTGTTTATCCATTGTTTTAGTTTGTGCTGCTACAACAAAATACCTGAGACTGGGTAGTTTAAAAAGAACAAAAATTTATTATTCACAGATCTGGAGGCTGAAAAGTCCACAACCAAGGTGCTGGCATCTGGTTTGGTGAGTCCTTCTTGCTGCATCACCCCGTGGCAAAAGGTGGAATGGCAAGCTAACCAAATGCTACATGAAGCCTCTTTTATAAGGCCCTTAATCCTGTTAATGAAGGAGGAGCCCTAAAGGCTTAATCACCTGTGAAAGGCACCATCTCTTAATGCCATCACATTGGCAACATCTTTATTTTGGAGGGGACACATTCAAATGATAGCATCCATTCATCTCTTGTTGGACATTTGGGCTGATTCTGGTGTTTGGCTATTATGAATAATCCTGCTGTGAGCATTAATGCACAGCTGTTTGTGTGAAAATGCTTCCTTTTATTTACTACCTAAAAGGTAGCATTCTATAGACGTATCTTTGGCACTTTGCTTTTTCACTGTAACTTTATTTTAGAAGTCACTCCACTTAAGTTTGTAGTGATTTTTCTCACTTTTTTTTTTTTTTTTTTTTTTTTACAGCCACATAGTATTCTATTGTATGGATGTACCATAGCTTATTCAACAATAAACCTATGTATGGACATTTAGATTCTTTCCAATAGTTTGCAATTATAAACAATGTTGTGATGAATAACCTTGTGCATATGTATTTTTGGATTGTTAGGGGTTTATCTTCATCTACTGTGACACTGAAAAATCCTATTTATAGTCTGGGCATGGTGGATCAGCCTATGATCCCAGCACTTTGGGAGGCCAATATGGGAAGATCACTTGAAGCCAGGAGTTTGAAACCAACCTGGGCAACATACTGAGATGTTGTCTTTACAAAAAATTTTAAAAATTATCTGAGTGTGGTGGCATGCACCTGTAGTCCTAGCTACTGTGGAGCCTGAGGTGGGAGAATCCCTTGATCCCAGGAGTTTGAAGCTCTAGTGAGCTATGCTCTCCAGCCTGAGTGACAGAGCAAGACCTCATCTCTAAAAAATAGAAATAAAATGGCTGGGCACTGTGGCTCACGCCTGTAATCCAAGCACTTTGGGAGGTCGAGGTGGGTGGATCACCTGAGGTCAGGAGTTCAAGACCAGCCTGGCCACCATGGTGAAACCCCATATTAAAAAAAAAAAAATTTTTTTTTAAATAGAAATAAAATAAAATCCCATTTGTAATCACTGACCCACAGTGAGTTTAACAGAAAACAAAACAGAAAGAATGAAGCACAGGCCCAATTTCTAATAAAAACTATACACACTTTTACCTATTTCCTGTACTAAAGAGTTATCAACTTTTAGAAACCATGTGCTGGTGTACCAATGAAAAAAAATGCATTGAAGTATATGGACCTTCAAGATACAAGGCCCCATCTTGCTGCTCTGGGTCGTCAAGTATGTCCCAAAATGGCAGTGCTCATTTGCAATGGGCAGATCAAGGAAACAAGAGGTGTGCATGCTGGGTTACTGGGCACGTGAATGTTGAAATCACTGAGATGATAGGGGAAGTTGGGATAAAGAGGACAGACACACTGTGAATACAGAACTAAATTCTTCACAAATGAGGATAGTGGCTCATTTGTGGAAGGTGATAGAAGACTGCCACCAGGAATGGGAAAGGATGATACAAGCGGATAACATGAGCCAAGGAAGAGCCAGAGATTTCTCAGGAGGGAGGAAGAACAAAGATCAGAAAGTGGTCTTGGAGGCCGGCACGGTGGCTCACGCCTGTAATCCAAGCACTTTGGAGGCCAAGGCGGGCAGATCACCTGAGGTCAGGAGTTCAAGACCAGCCTGACCAACATGGTGACACCCCGTCTAAAAAAAAAAAAAAAAAAAAAAGTGGTCTTGGGAAGCAAGGAGAGTTTGAGCTCCACCTCCTGGCACTCCCTGAGGCATTTGGCTGTGGGGGGGTGAGAAAATAAACAGCGTGCACTTGAAAGGGGTCAGCAGACAGCCAAGGTTTCAATTACAGCAGGGATGTGGGCAGAAAATCTTGAGAAATTTGAGGCTTTGGGATTTAACCCATCATAGACTTGGAGTGCTAATCCTAACTTAAATCTCTCTCAACCTAACTTGCTGATAAGGTCCAGCTTTTGGAGTGTGAAGTGTTCTTTTACTTCTGGATCAGTTGGTATTGGTGGCAGCAATGAAAGTGGCAGCAGTGGATGCAGTGAGCCAGTAACCTTTTGCTACTGGGGCACTGGTGTTATCAGTAGAGGGTCTTGACTGCAAGTTATCCAGATTCTTGGAGGTTTGAACAAAGACTTGGACAAAATGCACAGCAAAGCAAAGAAAGAATGAAACAACAGGAGAGCAAAAACAGGGATTTATTGAAAATGAAAGTACACTCCACTGTGTGGAAGTGGTAGAAAATGGCTCAAGACCCGGATACGGAATCTTCTCAGGTCCAGATACCCGCTAGAGATTTCCCATTGGCCACTTGGTGTTCACCCCATGTAAATGAAGTGGTGGCCCACAATCAGTCTGACTGGTTGCCGAAGGCAACCAATCAGAAGCTGAAGTGGTTACAAAGGTCACAATCCTATGCAAACATCTGATTGGTACAACAAATCAGAGGCTAAAGTGAAGTTACAAAGTTACACTCCTTTGCAAACATCTGATTAATTGCAAAAGCAACCAATCAGAGGTATTTTAAATTTTCCATCTGCCATACAGAAAAGGTGAGGGTTCCCAAAGGGAGTAGCCGCTGGTTCTTTTGTGGAAGTTAGGGTTTTTCTTTCAATTTAGTTCTAGGAAGTCAGCCCAAAATGGCCTTAGGGTCCTTGACTCCAGGCCCTCTTCTGTCTCACTGGGAGTGGTTTTCAGTTTCTCTGCTGGGTGTTCTCCAAGGTTGGCCTGAGGGCCTGGTTAGAGGGTCACAGGGTTGAGCTCCTGCCAGTGTGGCATGTATGGCTCTGGTGTTTAATGTCCCTAAACCAGAGACTGGCCATATCTACCACAATATTGCCATCCTGCTGTTTTTGCATGTAATTTGTATGATATTTTGTTACATTTAAAAGATACCAAAGCAGAACTCTGAATACTTAGGTAGACTTCACCAGACAGCAGTACCCTGGTGAGGGTCCCTGCTGTTGATTTCTTAGCTCTGCAGATCCAGAAATTCCGCTTTATCAGGGTACCCTGCAGCAAGCAGGCTCAGAGAGCTGGCTTTTTTTTTTTTTTTTTTTGCTAAACTGAACTGCTATAGGATCAGAGGGCTGACTCTTGATAACTAACAGACACTCCTCTTGATCTCCTTTGTTGGTTCTTCCTCATCTCCATGACCTCTAAAATATTCGAGTACTCCAGGCTCACTCGTTGGAACTTTTTCTCCATTTAAACCGATTTCCATGCTGATCTCATCTAGTTTCGTGGCTTTAAATGTCATCCATGTCCCGATGACTACCAAATATACACTGTGGTATTCCCTCATCTGAAGTTTCATGTTCCTCAGTTTCAGTTACTTGTGGTCAACCGCAGTTTGCAAATTTTAAATGGAAAATTCCAGAAATAATTCATAAGTTTTAAATTATGCACCATTCTGAGTAGTGTGATGAAATCTTGCTTTGTCCCACCTGGGATGTGAATCATCCCTCTGTCCAGTGTACCCAAGTTGTCCATGATACCTGCCTATTGGTCTCTTAGTAGCTCTCTCAGTTATCAGGTGGAAAAAACAGTATTTATGTGTTATCCACGGTTTCAGGTGTCCACCGGGGATCTTGGAACAGATCTCCTGTAGTTAAGAGAGTACTATTGTATCTCCAGTTTGGACCTCTCCCCTGAACTCTGGATTGCCATGCCCAGATGCCCCCTTAACAGCTCCACTTGGACATTTCATAGGCATCTCAAGCCTAAAGTGTCTCAAATGAGACCCCTGATCTACCCCACCAAATCTGTCCCTCCCTAGCTTCTCCATCTTGGCAAATGGAAACCTCATTCTTTTTTTTTTTTCAGACAGTCTTCCTCTGTTGCCCAGGTTGGAGTGCAGTGGTGAGATCTTGGCTCAATGCAAACTCTGCCTCCTGGGCTGAAGCGATTCTTGTGCCTCAGCCTCCCAAGTAGCTGGGACTACAGGTGTGCACCACTATGCCTGGCTAATTTTTGTGTTATTAGTAGAGACGGGATTTCACCATGTTGACCAGGCTGGTCTTGAACTCCTGACCTCAACTGATCCTCCCGCCTCGGCATCCCAAAGTGCTGTGATTACAGGCAAGAGCCACTGCGCCCAACTGAAACTTCATTCTCTTGGTAACTCAGGCCAAAAATCTTGTAGTCATGCTCGATACCCCTTTTTCTCTTTAAAAAACTATCATCCCTTGCCTACACTATTGAGATTATCTCTTAATGGGTCTTTTTCTGCTTCACCATTGCCCCCTTAGACTGTATTCCCAATTCTGCAACAGAGTGATTGATCCTTTTAATTTTATTTTTAACAGAGACAGAGTCTTGCTCTGTTGTCCAGGATGGAGTGCAGTGGCGCGATCTTGGCTCATTGCAACCTCCACCTCCTGGGTTCAAGCGATTCTCCTGCCTCAGCCTCCTGAGTAGCCTTCTGAGCACCTGCTACCACACCCAGCTAATTTTTGTATTTTTAGTAGAGACAGGGTTTCATCATGTTGGCCAGGCTGGTCTCGAACTTCTGACCTCAGGTGATCTGCCTACCTCAGCCTCCCAAAGTGCTGGGATTACAGGCGTGAGCCACGGTGCCTGGCTGATTGATCCTTTAAGAATGAAAGTCAGATGGTGTCACTTCACTGGTCGGAACCCTCCGATGACTCCACATCTCAAAGTTAAATCCAAAATCCTAACACTGCTCTGCAAGGCCCTACACAATCTTTCCCTCATCTTCCCACTGCCCCTACATTACCTCTCTGACTCCTCACCACTACTGTCCCCTGTGTTCACTTCAGTGACACTGGCCTTTCTGCTGATCCATAAACAAGCCAGGTACTCCCCACCTCAGGCCTCTGCACTTGGTGTCTCTTCTGCCTGGAATGTTTTTCCATAGCCATCTGAATGGCTACTTTCTTCACCTCCTTCAGATTTGCTCAAATGTCTTCTTCTCAGTGAGGCCTGAACACTCTGTTTAAAATTATAACCCCCCACCTTGATATATCCTGTCCCCCTTTCCTGCTTTCTTGTACTCTATAGAATTTACCACTATCTGACATACTATATATTTTTCTTAAAAAAAAAAAACCTCTCTCTCTCTCTTCTTTTTTTTTTTTTTTTTTGAGATTGAGTCTTGCTCTGTCACCCAGGCTGGAATGCAGTGGCACGATCTCAGCTCATTGCAACCTCCGCCTCCCAGGTTGAAGCGATTCTCCCACATCAGCCTCCCAAGTAGCCAGGATTTCAGGCATGCATCACCACACCTGGCTAATTTTTTGTATTTTTAGTAGATATGGGGTTTCACTATGTTGGCCAGGCTGGTCTTGAACTCCTGACCTCAAGTGATCCGCCCGTCTCAGCCTCCCAAAGTGCTAGGATTACAGGCATGAGCCACCACACCCAGCCAAAACTGGTCTCTCTTCGGCCTACCAAGATGTAAGCTCCATGAAGGCAGAGGTTTTATCTGTTTGGTATACTTCTATATTTTTGGCATTTAAAAGTGTAGCCTACTAGGCACTCAATAAA